CACTTTGTATGGGGAAACCACAGTTTGATGTAGTGTGCTTTTACCACTTGCCCACAAAGAACATCACAGAAAGCAAGGTTCTATTTTCCCTTTTTAAGGAAAGCACATCTTCACTTAGATTATTTTCATGAAAGCCCATATCTGTTCAATTTCATAGCACTGAAGGAGATGTACTTTCTTTAAAAAGGGAAAATAGAACCTTGCTTCCTGTGATGTTCTACATGGCAAAGTGGTAAAGTATACTGGATCAAGCATTGGTTACATGGACAAAGGTTCAATCATTGACAAAGAACACATTTTCTGTATTAGGATTTCTTGAATGTAAAGGCTGATACACTTAATACACACCATTTAATAAGTAAAAATTGGTTATCTATTTCAAGTACAAAGTATCTGCTATAATAATGTTTGAAGTAATATATATATGCTCCATAAAATATCTGGAATAAAAATAAATATTGTACATGTGAATGCAAAAATGAGAAATAAAAACAAAATAAAAGCAGTGTCTCCTTAAAAGATAAAAATATCATTCTATAGTTTTAATTAGATTATGTTTATCATGTCTGTAAAGTGGGAAATAATAAAATTCAACAAGGGCAAATCAAGGATCGTGAGCATTCCAAATGGACAAATTTATACCAGACAATTGGATTTCAGTGTCCTGGAGTGAAGTTTGAGAACTCACTAAATTAAGAATGGATGGTTTAATTGATGTCAGTAAGCATTCATTGTTTCATTTTTTTTTTTTAAATATTTATAAATAAGTATTTATATACACATCTCATGTGAAACATCTGCACAATAAAATCAGCAAGTTTTGTTTAAATTCTTGCCTAGTCAGTTGTATTCACTTTTGAAGAAATTCCATGAAAAAGGTACACATTTATCTTCCCCTCTCCCAGCCTAGTTAGAGTTAAATAGCAGGGTAGACTAGGGCCTAGGTTGGCAGTCAATCTAAGAGGACTATGAATTCAAAACCAGGAAGAAAATGATAGGAAAGTACTCCATCTTGTGGAGGGAAAATGATCATATTGAAGGGACATACATTAAATATATAAGTGTACATTTTATGATAAACTGAAACGTTTTCTACATTTAAATATCTATTAATAATAACAAATGAACAAATCAAAACTATCTGATAGTTTAAGGCCTCTTCAAAGTTGAATCTGGATCATAGTCTCCAGTGAAACCTATTTGTTTCCAAGTGAATTAAAGGTCAATATTTTCTCAGTCATTAACATTGTCCAGAAATAGTCAGAAGTCAGTATAGTTTTTTTGAGTTTTAATCTTCAAATAACATCTTCTATGTAAAATTTTGCATTTAGATTTGAGCACAATACTAGGGAACTTATACAGTCTTCCACCATTTAACAACCGAAAATGGCCTTTCTGTTTTGTAGTTAGTAATTGTAATGAGGTTTCCAAGATAAAGCAGGTAAAGAAATTTGGAAACAAATCCTTAAATCAAGAGTTGAGAGCATTGATTTATTTAGAGTGTCTCACATTTCTTTCATTGCCATTGACAGATTGTTAACTACATGAAATAAAGATCTACCCTGGTAATTAAAACTTTATCTAATTGATAACAACACAGTAAGTGTACAAGCCATTGAAAACTTAAATGGAACATACATAACAAAATGAAAAGAATCAATGAATAGCACATTAAAAGGGAATTAAGCATAAATTTTTAACACTATGACTAAGAGAAATAATATCTGGTTCATATCCTAAGAGTTGGTTCAACTTGAATGCTGAAACAGCTGTGGTAGATGTGTCAAAGAATTACTTAGTCAATTATGTAAAGATATGTGCGAGTGGAATATTACAATTACCCATTTGAAATACTCTATCGAGGTTGGGCTTGATGAAAGAAAGAAAACTTTATTTTGCAAGAAAATGAAGTAATTAAACTTATTGACAGATTTAAACAAAATTTAAATAAAAAAATTGTTTAAAATATTATTTCTGTAATACAAAATAACTGTAATTATTAGTTTTAGCTTGGAGTATTCAGACCCAAGATGTTCAGCAATGTTTTATATGCATATATCAGGTGACCCAGTAACTCCACTAGTTTTGTATATATAAGGTTTAAAATGAATTTTTTAAAATGAAAAAGCTTTCTTGAAGCTTTCATTTTAGCTTTAATTGAAAGCTAAAGGATTTAAAATTTACTATTTCCAGTAAGCAAAATACTCTGTGGTGTATTTCAAACAGAAGTTATATTGATTGGAATTCTTTTTTTCCAGTAAAATCAATAAAAACACCCATTTTTGACACATTGTAATAAAGTTAATTCTTGGTTTTAAAAATCTTGCAAAAATAAAATATTTCTGAAACATCATTTGAGGAAAATTATCAAATTTAAGGTTAAATTAATCTGGTTTGAAACAAATATTACCTACTTATAGCATAAAATGTTGTATACAAACATTTCTTAACTACAGGTTCTTGTTTTTCTGATGTGTCTAATGGATGTCAGTTATCTCCTGTTAATTCCCCTATGAAAGTTCTCCACCACCTTAACCAGGTATTGAACTCACACTCTTTGTGTCCTGTCACTGGATCTAACTAACGCCTTTGTCCACTGTGCCACTGTGTGTAGCTTTTTAAATCCAAAAATCCCTCAAATTGGTCATTTACTTTTGGATTAATTCCTTGATTAACACTTAACAGTATATATATATATATATATATATATATATATATATATATATATATATATATATAGATAGATAGATAGATAGATAGATAGATAGATAATATTAGTGGTAAATATACACATACATATGCAATCATATATCTAAAATATATATACATACATACATACATACATACACATACATATATATTTGTATAAAAAATAATTCCAATAGGATAGAATCCAGGTAGAACTCAATGTCCAGGACAGAGTAAGGATATAATAAAAAGGCTTAAACACTAATATTCCATGGTCATAATTTATTCCATTGGAATCGTAAACACAATCCAATTCATCAGACCTACAAATTCAAAAAGAAAACAGAAAATCAACTCTGGGAATAAAAAATAAAATTTAGTGAGAGTGTATGTATGAGAGTGTGGGACGAATGTTAGAGTAAATAAAAGCTATAGAGAGGGGTAACAGACAATAGAAGAACAGGAGAAGAACAAGAATGTCTAAAGATGAAAGGGGGGGAAATTAAAATTTAACAGAGAGAAGTTTTAAAGCGGGGAGTCAAAGACAGTTTAAGTGAGAGAAATATGAATATTCTTGGATGTCTAATACATTAAAGATGTAACCAGAAAGGATATATATATATATTAAAGTCAACATCAGGCTGCAGTGTGTGATTTCCCTCACAAAAAGCCCCAAGTTTTACTTTTTGGTAAATTTGCTTTTTAACAGCCGCGCTAAATATCTATTATAATTTTCCCAAATCGTCATAATTCTGTATAAATGTACATGCTGAACTAGAATTAACAATTAAATTATGAGGAAACCTACCATTTTGGATTATAAACAAGAAAAAATCGGACTTCTTGTTGGTCATTCGTCCACCATTACTGCCATACCGTTTAGTAATTTACAGCGGGATACAAGCACAAATTTTGGCCAATTTACATCTTTTACAGACTTTTGGTGCAAAAAATCACTATGCACTACCGTAAAGCAATGACAAATTAAAAGGACAAATTAAATCTTACTTATTATAAAACGCAGATTGTGTGTGTGTGTGTGTCTGTACGTTTATATATTGGATCGGATTTCCTACATTTTTAAACCGATTTCAACAAAACTTCACAGGACTATGTAAAATTACCTTGCGGTGGTTCTGACAGCGCCTAAAATTGGAAAAACACAATTGTTTTTGCACAAAATCAATTTGAAAACCTGATTAAGAGGCATCGCGAGAATGAAAGGGGGACAACTCATATCGAGTTATACTTATTATAAAACCCAGGTTGTTTGTGAGTGTGTGTGTGTTCGTTTATATATGGGATCAGATTTCCTACATTTTTCAACCGATTTCAACAAAACTTCACTTTTTTTTTGGCAGGTAGTGTTTCTTATTGTCTTGCACACTTTTTTGTTTTACTTTTACATTCAGAATGCTTTAAAAAATTCCATTTACAAGACAATTGTTTATAATAAAATTCTATTCAATCGGTAGACTCATAATGATTGAAAACAATATTTTTGTTTGAGTTTGGGTTTGACCAATTCGTAAAAAAAAAAAAAAACGAAAAAAAAAAACTAATTAAGACACGCGTGTCCGTCAACCTTAAACAATAATCTTTGTCAATTTTATTTTTCAGGCTTTATGATGGTCGATACTTGATCTATCTCTTACTGTTATATCGCCAGGCAATGCCGGGCTCTACTACTAGTAATACAATAAAGCTTCTTTTTTAAATTGAAAAAAAAAAACATATTAAGTAACATAACAAACATTTATTTCATTTCTAGCATTTTTTCTATTTTGTAATTTTATTTTGTATGTTTATGGGTTAAGTTTATAGTTAGGTGTTAGGGTTTGTGGTTGTGTTTGGCCTCTTTCTGTGTAGAAAAGGGACAAATTAAAAAAAATAAATAAATAAATAATACAATAAACTGGGTTAAGTTTAGAGTTAGGGTTTGTTTGGCTTCTTTCTGTGTAGAAAAGGGGATAAATTTTTAAAAAAAATTAAATAATACAATCAACCTTTATTTCGTTTCTACTTTTTTACCAAGTTTCTTTAAAAAATATAAAAAATGCTTCATTGCATTATTTAATTTGTTCTTTTAATTTGTCATTGCTATTCTACACAGAAAAAAATTTTATTGTATTATTGAATTTGTTTTTGTTTAAAGTTTTCTGTTACAAATAAAACTACACTTATAAAAAAAATTGCTTTACAATAGTGTGTAGTGATTTTTTGCACCGAAAGTCTGTAGTGTAAAAGAAGTAAATTGGTCAAAATTTGTGCCTTCGCCGCCGGATGTATCACGCAGTAAATTACTAAACAGTATGGCAGTAAGGACCAACAAGAAGTCTTGTTTTTTTCTTGTCGATAACTCCAAAACGGTAGGTTTCTTCATAATTTAGTTGTTAATTCTCGTTCAGCATGTACATTTACACGGAATTATGACGATTTGGGAAAATTTTAAGCGATATTTAGCGCGGGAGTTAAAAGGCAAATTTACCACTTTTTTTAATTTTCTATCATCGCTAAGGGTATGTATGGTATTTTGCATTAAGCAAAAAAATTATGAGACTATAATAAAACCAAGAAAACAAACAAAGCAGATGAAATAAATATACTAACAAAATGCATATTTGAAAAAATTAAGTAACTTAATTAATTATTGGCTGTACTAAAAAAAAAAAAAAAAACTGTAATTGTGATTCTGAATATTTTCTCCGAAAACATTTAAAAACACTTTTTTTTTTTTTTTTTTTAAATAAAGAAAGAGTAAAGCCACGCCAGTTTCGTACCTAAAGTTAGAAAACTCAATCTAGAACAATTATTCATTCTGCTCGTAAACTAGAATTCATAAAAGTACTTAGTAATATTTTACACAAAGCACATTTAAAAAAGTCTATTATTGTCTGCGTTATGAAAAGATTAGATCAGACAAAACTAATCGATTATTTCTAAAATGAAAACCTGAAATTAGTAAAGAAAGATCAGCTTCAATATATTTTTAATTTTAAAGAATTCTATTTTTTTTCTTCGAAGAATTGTAAAACAACTGTTACTCAATCTAAAAATATTTGATAAACTGGTCTATCGCACGCTTATTCTTTTCTTTTTAATTATTCACTACGTCGTAAAGTTTTGTTTTACAGACCTAGAGATTAAATTTTTTAAAAAAAGCCACATTCTTTTTACTTTATAAATTTCTATCGTTTTGCTTGGGTGTTTCACTCAACAAGCTTAAACTCGTTAATACAAAAAATTATTTCCGCTTTCATGCATGAACAATCTTTTTATGATTCATAACGAAAACATCATCTGTTGACAATTTGAATTGCCCATGTCAACATTAGTCGTACCATCGAATAAGTACTGCTAGGAAATTAAAATATTCTAATATAATTGCCACCATTTGTTTAATAAACTGGTCTTCAATTGTGATATTTCACTTCAGCCAAGAAGTTGGACATTTACACTAAAAATCTGACGATAAGAAGTATTCTTTAAACGAGTGTAAGTACATTTTTGTTTTCCTATGTTGAATAATTTGTTCATGTTTTCTGAGTTTTCATTTAAAACTGATGAGAAGTGGTAAGTATCTACCAAATCTGATTAATAAGGAACTTATTCATCAGATTTGCGTTCGATCTGAGGACCAGGCATATACTCTCTAATTTTTAAACACTATTTATATCAGTTAAACAACGTTGTCGTTATCCTTTCATTTTCTCATTTTTCTGTAACGTTCATCGAATCACTTTTTAATGGTAGTATCATTAATTTAAAATTTGGTTCTCACATTTTCGTCTTGGTTAAGCTGTTCATAAATGTAACTAACCAAAAACTGCCGAACATATTGCTTTTCTTTCTCTTGTAGCATGGAAAATAATCAAGACTACACTTAGTGACACTCTGCCGGTACTAAAACATGCTAAATTAAATTCCGGTGTCTGGATACTGGAAGATACTATTCTACCTACCAGAGAGTTGTTAATTTTTGATATTTCTAATTTCATCATAAAAATACCAACAAAAAGTTGTTCCAGGACACGGAGAAGTAGATTCCAACTAAAAAGTGCTGAATTTTTTTTTTATTTTATCATTCAACGACATAATGTTGCGATGAAAAGCAACTGAAATTATTAAGTTGAAAGAAATATTAGTAAAAAAAAAAATGTTAACATTAACAATGTTTCATCTATAAAATTTGAAGGGGGCGCCTCAGCTTATGGTCAGGTAGTGGTTCGTTAGCAAGGCTAGTCTGGTTGATCATTACTACTACTGTGTCGTCAGTTCGATCCTCACGGGATGCCCTTGTGCTAATTCATACAGATTCAATATTAAATGGAAAATGTTTACTAATAAATTTAATAAAGTGATGAATACAATGGGTTTTACACTAGCTAGTAAATAAAATAATTTAATTATTATTGTTGCTAAATAAAGATTTTTAAAAACCATTAAAGAAAAAAAAAACTTTATTTTTTTCCAGTACCTTTAAAAAAATTGATTTTTTTTTTTTTTTTTTTTCAACAGATTCCTATGAACTTCAGTTACCATTGTCTTTCTTCTGCTTGTTTTAGGATGTCTCTTTCAGTCTTCAATATAGATTGTTTGGTGTGACTTAGAAAAGGAAAGTCAATACAATGTCGTTGCATGAAGAAAATTTAGAAGGTTTGCCCCCAGGAATTGAACCATTGGCTCATCAAGTGGCAGGACACAGGCCCAAAGTACCTAGCGAAATTAAAGGTAATGAAAATATTTTTGTTTAATATAAAGTCTCAAACAAACACAATTTCATTATTGATATTTCAAATGAATTCTTGGTATATGTGTTATCTACTTTTTGCCATTTTTTTTTTTTTTTTATAGAACTTTCAAATTCATCTGATCAAAAAATTTTTAATTAAATAGTTATTTTTTCAGTAAAAATCCTTCTGAATTTGTTTCTATTCAAAAGTTTTTAAAATATTTCATTTCCATCAATTCTTAATCATGAATTAATTTGAAACAAAGGAATTATGAGTGAAGTCTAGTATATTAGTAGCCTGAAGGACCTTATTGACTCAGGTCATGGTTCAAAATAAAAACTATATATTTTATAATAGACTTACTTTTTTACTTTTTGCCCAGTTCGTGTGACTGTAAAATCTTACAAACCAAACAGAATATTTAGGTCCATGTATAATCCTGGTTATACTGGGTGTTATCAAGATATTGAGTTGTATTATTCTGAATCCCTTTGTGAATGAATACACAAAGGAATTCAGAATAATGCAACTCTACAATGATTGTGTTATAGACAAGCATATAGTTGCAAGAAAGAAATATGACAACAGCAGAAATAGATATACGTGATTTATTTCAATAGGAACGTGTGATTTTGGGACAGCTACCTTGTGGTATAGTTCATAAGCCGGCTGCCGACCTGGGTTGATCTCTCATAGTAGTTCTCACTGGTTGGTGTGGCGCTACTGCTGCTGACTGACCGTGACAGGTCTCTTCCCTGGCCTCCTGTTGACTGCTGTTGTACTTCCCTGTGTGACCCCTTTTATGGCATTTTTTATGGCTTAACAGGCTCATAAAACGATGCGAGTATAATTAGGAGGGAAGCATTTTTATTGGTCGAAAAATAGAAACACTTTAAAATATTATTTTATTTTTCGACCGGAACTCGTGCGTAGACGATGATAATGGTCATTTTGTGACAGGGCCTTGCCCGGTTCACATCTGGCTCTCGCTCTTAAGTATGTTAGTTTATTTTCCTGCAAATCAGCCGAGATATGTCTTATTTTATTTTATAACAAGGCTCCCCTAGGTCTCGGTCTGATTTACAGTGAGTGTTATTCGTGTATATTTGGGTGATTAATTCATGATAGTCTCTGAAGCATGTGGGAAGTTGTCCTCGTGTTCTTCTTATTGGCATTTGTTTTGGCATGGGGTTATTTGCTGAGTTATGTGTCCCTGAGGGATGTAGAGGAGAATGATCCTGGTGTCTGTTACATGGTGGAGGCAGAGGGATTGTATTAGAAAGATGTTGGGTGTGGAGCCAGTTGTCGGATATGTGCACAGTGAATCCAGATTGTATCACCATCATCGTTTTGCACCTGACACATCATATTGTTCGTTTTTATAATGGTGTAATTTCCTATCCAGGGCAGATGAGAGGATTGGGCTACAGTTGAGTGTGGCCGATGAAGTAAAACCTTGTCGCCTACTTGTATTGGGTCCTTGTATGTGAGGCGATTTAAGTTAGTCTCAAGTTTGTGGACGGCTTCATCGTTGGCCAGGGTGATGTGATGGTGAACCTGCTTTAGCAGGGCATTAATTTGCATTCCATATGCTCACGGATCGTCACTTGCGATTTCTTTTCTGTGTAGTGTAGGTAGGCTGATGTTGGGGTGACGGCCAGTAATGGCATAGTGCGGGGAGACACCGGTGGCGCTGTTGGTCAAGGCATTCATGGATGAAACGACAGATTCTAGAACATCTGTCCATTCACAGTTCCTGTCTTCGCATAACATATAAAGTGTGTTCTTTGTCGTGTGATGTTGTCTTTCGATATTTCCTGAGCTTTGTGACAGTGAAGTTCTTGCGTGATTGACATCTGGTTACAGAATTGTCGATAGACTTCTCCAGTGAAGTGTGTGCCTCGATCAGAGGATACTATGCGTGGAATGTCTCTGTGTCGAAAGAAGAACTGGTACAATCCGCGGGCGGCGGCAATAGCACAGTCTCTCGTGCATGGTATGGCTGTAAAGTGTCAGCTGAAGCTATCCAATATGGTTAGGATGTAGCGTTTTTCCCTTTGAGTTGGGCATTGTGACAGTCTATAAAGAATGATCTCTTTCCTCGTTTGCAGTGGCCAATGGGCCAGTAGGTATGTCTATCGTAGTTGCCCTTGCATTTAGCACACATGTCGCAAGAGTCGACATAGGCCTTGATGTCGCGGTTTTTGAATTCCCACCAGTAGCTGGAAAGGAGTTCTCGCATACGGGTAACACCTGAGTGGTTATTGCCCTCATGTGCCTGGTAGAGGTATCTGGATCGTAGTTTGTATGGTACAACCAAACTCGGAGAGTGTTTACTGTCTCTTATCATCAAAACAGAGGTGCCTGGTTCTAGAAAAAATTGGTGCAAATGTTTTTTGAAAAGCGTAGCTCAGTGGTCGTCAGGATCGATATGAGGTTCGCTTGGAGTGGGGTGACTGGTGCCAGGGTGTCGTCCTTCTGTTGTTCATTTGTGATGCTGAGGTGGTTGCAGATTCTCTCAGTGGGGATGGTGGTGGTCGAGTGATAGGCGAAGAATACGTTGGTGACGTGCTTGTCGGTGCGGGCGTTTTGTGGTGTGTGAGTTTTAGGAATGAGCTGTAAACTGTTAAACTCGCTGAGGCACCAAAATAGGATGTATACGCGGAGGTCTGAACCACTTACCTCGAATGTCCTGCCTGCCGGTGTAGGGTCGTTCGGGGCTTTCGTTTTCTTATGTCTGCAACCTCTGCTGAGCATGTCAGCCCATACATTTGATTCGCCTTCGACATTCTAAGATGAATTTATAACATGAAATTTCTTCTTGCCATTGTTGTATTTTGGCATTATTGAACTCTTGTTGGTCCAGATATGTCAGCGATCTGTGGTTGGAGAAGATGACAAAGAGGCAGTTGCGGAGGAAATAATCAAATTTTAATATTGCCCACTTTACTGCATATGCCTCTCGTTCCGTTGTGGATTCTTGCATTAAGATTGCTCCACGTGCGACGTCACTGGCATCGGTGGTGAGTGTGAAAAGTTTGGAGAAATCCGGAAATGAGATGACGGGTGGCGAAGAGAGACGGTCCTTTTTTTTTTTTTTTTTGAAGGCTCTGTCGGCATTTTGCGTCCAGGTAAATGGTTTATTAACCTTGTTGAGTTCGTGTATGGGACCCATAATTTTTGAAAACATATCTGACCTGATTTGTTCATGAAGACGTGTCTCTAGAAATTGTCTGATCCACACTAAATGGTCAATAAGACTTTGTAATTCCTTTTTTGATGTTGGAGGTTTAATTTCCCTGATGGCACGAACGTATTCTGGATCAGCCTTGAATCCTTCGCTGTTCACTATGCGTCCGAGGAATTTTGCCTCTGATGCGAGGAAGGAACATTTATCTGGATTCAGCTTGAGTCTGAATTTTTGGAGGGCAATAAAAAATTGTTCGAGGGAGAGTATGTACTCCCTAAATGTCCTAGCGTGGACCAGGTTGTTGTTGACATAGGAAGAAATGTTGTCACGAGATGTGACCGTGGCTAGGGCTTTTGCTATGCAACGGGAGAAGATTTGCCCGGCAGATGTAAGGCCAAAGGCCAGGAGCGAGTATTGATAGCATCGGTCCTTCCATGTAAATGCTGTTTTGTATCGGTCTCACTTGTCGATCACAATTTGCCAGTAGCCGCTGCGTAGATCGAGGGAAGTGAAATATCTATTGCCTTTGCCGATTTTGTTGAACAAGTGGTTGATCCTTGGCATTAGGTAAGGGTCAAGATCGACCAAGACCTTGTTGAGAGTTCTTTTTAAAGTTAGCTGATTTAACGCCGAATCGATCCGCTTTTTTTGCGTACGGCAAATACAGGGCTATTGAAGCCTTTGGGGTCGCCAGTTTTCAATGATACCTTCATCAGCCATGCGCTTAATTTCGTATCAACATCTGCTTCCAAAGCCTGGGCAATCGGGTGTTGTTTCTGGCTGTGAGACTGGCCGTTGGTTGGTATGTGGATGGGTCGGATGAATGTGCCTTTGCTGCTGCTTTTGGTGCCGATAACTTCAACGTAGCGAATGAGTAAGTTTGCAGTGGCCTCTAGTTCATCTCGATTTGGGTGGTTTGGTAGCGATAGCCCCATGCTAAGCTTTAGCCAGGTTAGCTTTTGATCCAGTGTCTGGAGTTGGGCTGTAGTTCCATAGTAGGTTGGTTTTGGATGATGTCAGCTTGGGCGCCATATGCTGGATCGTTGGTTGACAGTGATATGATTGCGGCTGTGTGTGTTGTGTAAAGTGTGCGTCTGAATTCTATAGTTGCATTTTGGTTGTCAATTAGGAATCGAGCGTGTTGTGACATAGGATATTTTGTTCGATCAGGATCGGTGTAGTTTGGGTAGTTACCAGCACGCTAACCTTTTTGAATGTGGGTAAGTCTCGACTGCCGATGGTGATGGCGCAAGTCAGTTCGCCAAGGGCGGTGGTGCTGCCGTTGATTCCTTTTACTACGACATCGGAGCGGGTCATGTGTTTCTTGGCTTCTCTAGGTAACTGAGATATTGGTAAGATGCAGGTGGAGCATCCAGATTCTAGCATTGCAACGCCAGAGAAGGTGATGTCCCTGAAGTTGAAGGTGGACTGGACGAGCGGTGAATGGTGAGCGAGTCCTTGAAAGTTGAAGGTGTGATGGCTGACGTAGGGGCACGGTGAACGAGGCATCACATCTCGTCCTGCCCGAACCGAAAATCCTGTTCCACATCATTTATGGCTTGTATATTATCATTCGTTGCAGCGATATGGGCCTGTGCCCGAGTGCGAGGTGGGTGGCGATATAGGCAGTTGCGACCTCTGAGGTAGTTCTTGCACACGCTGATTCGTGGTGTGTGCTGATGGTTTCTGCGTGTCAGATGGTGGCCATGTTCGGGAGGGTTGGTGAGGCCTGTCTGCTGTGGGTTTGGTTGCCTGCTGGGTCGGAGTGGCGTGTTTTTTTTGGTTTGACCACTGTGGTTTCTGTGTGAAATACACAGTGTCGTGCGAAGTCATGTCGTTGGATTTTACACCGCAATCAAGGTATCTTTGAGCTTTGGAGGCAAGTCAATGGCTGAATAGTGGTTGTCCATTGTCTTGACAAGATGTGGGTAAAGATTTGAGTTCCAAATTTTCACCTTTTCGCTCATTAGCATAGTCTGATGATGGAAATAAGTCCATCGACTATTAAGTCTGTATTTGTTTTTTATGTGGACGGCTGCCTCTCTAAGGGTGTTTTCAAGTCAACCTGCGAAGTCTGTTAATTTTTCGCCGTCTCGCCATTTCAGATCCCAGGCTTGACTAAGGTATTGGAAGTTAGTCATCCGGCTTCCGTGGGCTGCTAATAAGTATTCCGTCAGTCGTTCGAAGATGGATATGTCTTTTTTTGAGTTAACCATCTGCTGAAAAATACTTTGGTCCAGTAAATTTTTAGCAGACTTGACGAATTCGCATTCCAGGCTAGTATAGGTGCTGAGTTCTGGCGTGATGTGGATTGTATATGCTTTGTTTAGAGCCATGATGAATCGGTTCACGTCATGTCCACGGTGAAAAGTTCTCTCTAGCTTCAATATATCATGTATAGTTTGTTGGCACATCATTAAGCTGTAATCGTCGTTTGTTTGAGTGGTGGGAGGTGTTAAAGTAGTTGATTTTAGGGCAGTCAGCATGTCGTTTATGTTGGTTTGAATTTCTTGTATCATGGCTTCGGAAGGCTGTGTTGGTCCTGTTTTCAAGTTGAATAGTAGTGTTTTCTGTTCCCTGATGAGAGTAAATAGTTCGGCTGAGGTGAAGCTCATGTAGTTGTCCATATTTCTCTTGCTGTACGCTTCTGACAACAGTGTTATAGACAAGCGTATGGTTGTAAGAAAAAAATACGACAGCAGCAGAAATAAATATGTGATTTATTTCAATAGGAATGTGTGGTTTTGGGACAGCTACCTTATGGTATAGTTCATAAGCCGGCTGCCGACCTGGGTTGATCTCTCATAGTAGTTCTCACTGGTTGGTGTGGCGCTACTGCTGCTGACTGACCGCGACAGATCTCTTCCCTGGCCTCCTGTTGACTGCTGTTGTACTTCCCGATGTGACCCCTTTTATGGCTTGACAGGCTCGTAAAACGACGCGAGTATAATTAGGAGGAAAGCATTTTTATTGGTCGAAAAATAGAAACACTTTAAAATATTATTTTATTTTTTGACCGGAACTCGTGCGTCGGCTTATGCGTAGACGACGATAATGGTCATTTTGTGATGGGGCCTTGTCCCGTTCACATCCAGCTCTCGCTCTTAAGTATGTTAGTTTATATGCCTGTAAATCAGCCGAGATATGTCTTATTTTATTTTATAACAATTGTTTCATTTGAAATTCATTTTCTTTTATATTTAAGCTTTAATTTATAAAGTACATTTTCATAGCTACTTATTCTTGTCTTAAAAAAGATAGTTTGGTTAAAGTGTGAAAATAATTCTTAAACATACATTTTTTTTAATAGTATGAAATTGGTATGAATTTAAAAATCTTTAAATGTTATCTAAAGAAACTTTTTACTTTAATAATTTATACTTAATTTCTACTAATCATTATTTTGTCTTCCACAAATGTTTAATTTCAAATGCTAATTATTTTTCTTTAGTTTTTGAACATAGTGGTACATTGAAAACCTAAAGAATAGTAATAGTACATTTATTCGTAATAATTATAATTGACTTGTAATATAACCAAAATAGTCCAAACTGTAGAAATATCTTCATCACAAGCTTTTGGAGATTTAGCAAGACATATTGTTCTTATAGATATCTAAATACTTTTAAAAACATGTAAATTTAAAAAAATAAATTTCTATGAAGCTTCTGTAAAACATTTTGTTGAGAAATATACTTATCATGGACATCCATATTTGGTGTTTTTTTGACAGCCTTCTATCAGGCACCAAATGGTACAATATTGAAACGTATGCGTACCCCACGAAGGCCCCATCGAGAACTTGAATTCTACCGTCTCGTTTTTGAGGATGAGAGCACGGATCCGATTCTGAAAGAACTGAAAAATTTTCTACCTAAGTATTTGGGAACATTCCAGATTGATCTTTTTCCTGATGGTAATTAATTTTCAAATTATTCTTGCATTGTTCACAAGATTATGAACTGAAGTGTCCTACTTTGTATTTTTCTAAATAATCAATGGGGAGGATGTAGGATTTATTCATCTTATCATGGGACATACTAGTAACAATAGCAACAATAAGATCAATAGCTGAATAACGACACTAGACTCTAAATGTTATGTGTTATCTCCGTAGTAACTAGGGTCAAATCAATTCATAACTTCTACATTCTCATAATGTTGTTAATATAAACTGAATGCAACATTGCAAATATTAATACAAAGTGTTTAAAATTTAGTGTCCAAATTAGAATTATTCTAGTTAAAAATTGGATAAATTTTGCTATTGGTGTTTTAAAATGAATCAATCAAATATTTTTGCATTTTGAAAATCACTTATCAGAATATGTTTATTGATAATTTTTCTAAATATCACTTGAATCATAGACTATATCAGGAAAGTTTATTCATTTCCATTAATTATACAGACTATAGTTCTTTTGTTGCCAAGCAATCTAATTTTTTATTAGTTCAATAAAAAGTTTTTCAGATGACTTTCAACTAACATTTCATGATCATATCGTATCAAAAAATGTTTTTTCTGTTATAAGATATGGCTCAACATATATACTTACAAATTTACTTGCCTGGGTTTTAAAAATGCTTCTTTAATCTTTGTTACCAGAATTTATTTTATTTGATCTTCATTTAAGGTAGCAGTTTATCAAATCTAGAATAAAATGATTAACAAAAAAAAGGGAGACAGAAAATAGTTTTGCTTGAGTTTTATATTATTACACTGCCAAATTGTGTAATATGGAATTCATTTTTAGACAACAAAGACATTTTTAGAATTTAAAAATGTAATAAAAGAGATTAACAAATTAACACGTAAAATTTCAAGAAAACTATATTATTGGTTTTTCATTATTGCACAATAAACATTTTCTAGATCTGTTTTAGTTTTTCAAAATACTAAAATATTTTATTAGTTTTTGAATATTTAGTGTACTAACAGACTCTTAATCTAAAGAAAATGACATTTATTAGAGGTTGGAGGTATGAACAAGTTTTTCAGAGCTATCTTCAGAATATAGTGGCTACTTTTTTCTTTTTTTGAAAGATATTAATCCCTTGAATGTTTTCAAACATTTTTCCAAATTTATGCAATTTTTAGGATTTGATTGAGAGCCATATGACATAACAAGTAAAGATATAAAATTTCTAATAGTCAAAAAATTTGAATGCCATTGCATTACAGTTCAGTCAAATATCAGAGTAGGTTAGGGGTTAAGCAGGGTTAAACCCACATAAAGATGCTTTTTTAATGAAAGAAAAGAATATGAGCATGTTTTTTTTAATTATTAAAAAGATAGTACTAACCAGAACATTAGTCATAACAGAAATCATTGTAATGTTTAGATCAAATTTTATTCATGTATTATGGAGTGTGGCTAACAGGGCTGGTATGTACTAACCCTGACCCCACCCCCGTCAGCTATGCTGGGTACGATAGTAAACTACATCTAGCAGAAAGGACTCTTAGTGGGAGGTTTTGAGGAGCATGGAACTACCTCTTAATTTCTGTTGTTCCCAGGTTCACGCCCGGTGGGTGGTAGCTATGGGCAAATAGTTTACCTCCAATCTGGGATCAAAACACTACAAAAGGGTAGAAATATATTTTTGTAGCAAAGGTGTCAGAAATACATTTTCATGATTAAAAAGTTGTCAGGAATGCATTTAAAAAAATAAAAATTGCCAACGATAAATTTTTGTAAAAGAAATTACCAATATTCACAAGGAAATTAGCTAAACTGTAATCTGCATTTTTTCACAAAACAATTTCACCCATGTCTTGTGTAGGACATTAAAATACTACCAGACATAGCAGAGTAAAGCAGATGAATTAAAATCTAATTTTTCATATGAGGAAAACTTCACTTACATGCTATCAGCTTATATGATAATACTATAACCTATGTGTTTATAGTTAGAATGATGCCTTTAGGAAAATGATATGGTTTCTCTAAACGAACAACCTATCAAAATTAAAAATAGACATGTTTAAACAACTAATAAAAAAATCATAATTCACAAACTGTTTACACAAAACACTATGCCTAAACTACCTGTCCATACAAAATACCTCTAAAGTTGCAATATATAGAATGCACATTTATAAAACCAATTCCCACAAACTACAAATTCCCTTCAATGAAGCCACCTGTTTGCTGTGGGTGGTGATCCATGATGCCTGAGGATGGAGTCCTGGTGACTAAGTGACTCCTGATTTGGTATAAAATGCCAGGAGTTTCCATAACACGTCACTTCGGTCCCTACCTGGGATAGATGTGTAGATGGAATAGCCCAATCCAATCCAATCTGCTAGTCACATAGTGGCAAGGGTTAGTTGGGATGAAAGATAATGGCTGTGACACAGCTGCGAATTCTTACACGATACTATACTTGGGTAGATATGGTGGTGAAATACAGGTGCTTGTATCCACTTACAGTATGATTATACTGTCTGTGTAGCCTTGGCAGATCAGGGCAAATGTGATTAGTTTCCCCTGATCTCGACCCTTAAGAACAAACGCCAAGGTGGGTGGTGAGCACAGACAGTGAACACAAAATTATATGGCTAACTCTTATAAGCAAACCAAGAGACAATATGTAAATTCAAAAACAAAAAATGACAATGAAATATCAGGAAAAAAAATTTCCAATTTTCATAGTTATAGAATCATTAGATGGTGAAATAACAAAAGTATCACCTTTTTGTGTTGTAAAAGGTTATATCAGCCATGATAGAACCAAAATCTGTAAAAAAAATAATAACACACTTCTAATTCTTGTAAAAACCAAAAAAGACGCAGAAAATTTACTAAAAATCAAGCAAATAAACATGAAAGTAAGAGCTTACTCCCACCAATATCTTAATTCATCTAAGGGGAGGTAATAAAATGCCCAGAACTGTCACTCTGCTCACCAGAAGAAATTAAAAATGATGACATCCTATACAAATATTGCTAAAATATCAAATCATCAAAATGACATCCAAGAGGACAATGCAATAAGAAACCAAGACCTTACAACTCTAATAAATGATTTAAAAAGTTTAATAGAACTACTAAAATTTAGTATATCACACATAAACCAAACTCTTATAGTCAAAACAAATCCTATCCCATCAACCTCAAACAAAAAAGAATCTATACAAATAACTCTGAAAACACCAATCCAAAGTACAAAAATCCTTCAAGAAGTAGAATCCTCCAAACATTCACAAGAGAATCAAAAGGTTCATAAAAGAAATAACACAACCCAATACATCATTGAAGAACCAAGAGAAATGGACATAGATGAACAAAACTCTATCCCATCTCAAGTAGGGGAATGGTCATCATCCAGACAAAGATCATCAAAAGAACTTAATGGAAAAACAAAGAAAACAAGATCAAACAAACAAGCAGAAACAAAAGACCTTCAAAGACCAAGATATGACAAGAAACAAAGTGCTAACAGATCTGAGAGCATATAAATTATGGACTCTTCACCCACTAAACATAAACCAGACAAGTAAAAACTCATAACACCCTAATACATAAACATGATGCAAAAAATTATGATGGAATTGTCAAGGCCTAAATGCAAATATAAATGAAGTACTCCCACTTATAACATATCAACTTCCTGCCATCATTTGCCTTCAAGAATCTCTCCTAAAATGTAATGGTAAGATAAGAATAAAAAACCATATTCAATATAACTACATACATGACACTCAACAGAGCGCATCTGGGAGTGTATCGATCCTAATCAGAAATAACATCCCCCCCCCACCCAAAGCTAAATACTTCTAGAAACCAATCTACAAACAGTTGCTGTAAAAACTACCCTACATAGAACAGTTAACATCTGCTCTCTTTAGATCCCACTGCACAATCCCATAAAAGAAACTGATCTAAATAAACTAACAGAACAACTACCAAAACCATTCATATTATTAGGTGACTTTAAGTCACAATGCAGATCCAAGAACTCAGACAAAAAAGGGAAAAACCTGGGAAATGTAATTAACAACAATGACTTATGTTTACTAAATGATAGGTCTAATACATATCTACATACTGCATCAGGTACATACTCAGCTAGTGACCTATCACTGTGTGACCCCTCTATTTTTATGGATTACAATTGGCAAGTTCTTGAGGATTCATGTGGCAGTGATCACTACCCAATTATACTGAAGAGTTCAGAACCAACTGAAAACCATCTATCTCAATGAAAACTTAAAAAAAGCTGATTGGAGGAAATATAATAACCAATGCTGATACCAACAAAGATGACAAACAAAAATCTATTGAATATTTCACTGAAACATTAATAGCAATTGTCAGAAAATGTATACCAAAAAGCAGTGAATCAAATAAACATCAAATACCATGGTTCAATAAGGTTATGTAGAGCAGCACTGTAAAAATTTAATACTCAGCCTACAACCCATAATTTAAATCTGTTCAAACAAAAAAGAGTAATAACATGTAGAGCCATCAAAGAAGCTGAAAGAAAATCATGGAGAGATTACATAAATAAAATAAACTCCAATACGAAACCAAAAAAATCAGTAATATGATAAGGAAAATCACTGGCAAAATTCTATCACTTCCTCTAAATTACCTTTCTCAAAATAACATAAAAATAACAAGCAAAAAGGATATAACAAGTCTACTTGCCGAAACCTTTAAAAAAATTCCTCCATTGAAAACTACAAACAACAATTCCAAAAAGTTAGGCATAATGCAGAAAAAAAATAAACTTAACTCATACAACAAAGATTACAACCATCCTTTTATCCTAAATGAACTTATAGATGCCATAAGCAAATCACATAGTACAGTCACTGGCCCAGATTAAATTCATTATGAATTTCTTAAACAACTTCCTACAAAATCCTTAAAATATCTGCTAAGCATCTTTAATAAGATATGGTTTAAAGGAAAACTACCAAATAGGTGGAAACAAGCTACCATAATTCCTATACCAAAACCAGATAAAGACAAATCAGAGCCAAAAAACTTCCAAACAACATTAACATGTTGCATATGCAAAAGCCTAGAAAGAATACTAAATAAAAGAACTTGTACCTCAAATCTAATGTTTTAATTACCAATCTCCAGAGTGGATTCCAAAATAAGAGGTACCATAGACAACATAGTCTGCATAGAAAATTTCATTAGAGAGGCTTTTATTAAAAAAGAACATACAATAGCCATTTTATTTGATCTAGAAAAGGCCTATGAGACAACATGGAAACATGGAATAATGAAAGACCTATACAATCTGGGATCAAAGGGCAGATTACTCAATTTGATAAATAATTTTTTGTCAGAAGTTTCAAAGTTCGGGTAGGATCAATACTCTCAGACTCAAATATCCATGGAGTTCCACAAGGTTGCATCTTGTCCATCGCTCTTTTTAATATAAAAATTAACAATATTGTTAATTGCTTGAATCAAGGAGTCAATGGCTCATTATACATAGATGATCTTTTGATCTGCTACAGATCAAAAAATATGCACACTGCAGAACAACAACTGCATGTATGCCTAAATAAACCAATGGACTATTGAAAACGGTTTCAAATTCTCCCCAACCAAAACAAAGTGTATCCATTTCTACAATCAGAAAAAAATACACAATAATCCAACTCTTAAACTTGAAGGAACCAAAATTGAAATGACTGAACAACATAAATTTCTGGGAATCTTTTTCGATAAAAAACTTACTTTCATCCCCCACTTAAAATACATAAAACGGAAATGCTTCAAAGCATTACAATTACTACGGGTTGTGGCTAACACTAACTGGGGAGCAGATCACATATCACTCCTAAAATTATATAGAACTCTAATAAGAACTAAATTGGACTACAGATGTTTCAAATATGGGTTGACCCAGAAATTCTATCTAAAAACCCTTGACCTCATCCAACATGCAAGATTAAGACTGGCTCTGGGTTCCTTCAAAAACATCACCCATAGAAAGTTTATACATTGAAGCCCATGAAGCACCATTAAAATTGAGATGAAAAAGACTGGCATTACAATAATATCTAAATCTCAAATTCTGCTGAACTAACCCTGCCTACCACTGTACCTTCAACTCTAAATACAAAAATCTGTTTGATAAAAAAGAAAATGCTATCAAACCTTTTGGCCATTACATGAAAAATCTGATCAGCAAAACAAAAATAAATCCAACCCTAATTCTTAAAACCTCCAACTCAAAAAAAAAAACACCCTGGTTAATGAAATACCCTATGATTCTACTAAATCTTAGTAAATATCCTAAAATTAATTCTTATCTTATTACATGGAAGAAATCCATAATCTTCTATAAGCTTGCCCAAATCATAAGCATATATACACTGATGGCTCTAAAATCTTGGACAGAGTTGGATGCTCTGCTATCCTTAACAACATAACAATGCAGAAAAGATTGCCTGTCTTCAGTGCAGAAGCCTTAGCCATACACTTGGGTTTAGATATTATAGAATCCAGTGGGTCAGATGGATTCTTCATCATCTCAGATTCACTAACCATACTCACAGCTCTGAAGAATAAAAACCTTAATAAATAAATTATTAAATAGGATTGACTGTATTTATAAGAAAAAAATGCTGTAATAGACCTATGCTGGATACCAAGCCATATTTGCATACAAGGAAATGGAAAAGCTAACAAAATGGCAAAGGAATTACTGAACATGGCCTTATCAAATGTAAAGGTGCCACACACCAACTTCTGACCCACCATAAACATGACCATTAAAGAAAAATTTCAGCAATTATGAAACAACTGTGTAAAAAATAAACTTAACATCCAACCAATCATCAGTGAAAGACTGTCAAGTTACAGAAAGATAAGGAGAGAGGAAGTAGTTCTAGCCAGACTCTGTATAGGACACACATACATAACCCACTAATATCTACTAAAAAATGAGGAACCACCAATATGTGTCCCATGCCAGGAACCATATATTGTTAAACACATTCTACTAAATTGCTGTAACTTTTAACAAACCCGAATCAAACACTACAAATTGGATAACTTTAAAGGATCTATTTGAAAATACCAATCCAAATAACATCATAAATTTCATAAAAGAAATTGGGCTCAACAGGAAAATATAAAAGAAAAAACTGTTTACCAAATCTGCTTACCTACATTATTTTGTAACCAATTTTTGAAGGGAAAATTATTTCCAGCAATACATTTAACTCTTGACAAAATCTCCCTTTACAAAATATGTCAATGAAACCTGATCTACAAAATGATTCCTTATAAAGAATATGTACTCTATTCATATGAACCTATTCAAAAATTGTTGTCAGTATTAAATAACCCTTTGAGGTTGATATGCTGTTAAATTAAACAAACCAAACCCACTCCTGCCAGAGTGGGAGCAGGCAGAGCTTTATGAGCCTTGCTATCTTATCAACATTTGCTTTTTTCTACTTACATTTATATACATTACAAATTAAACTAATCACAACTGACTATTAAAGGATGAAAAATTTTCAGATTTGACATTTTGTGGGCTCCTTTTTTTTTTTTTTTTTTTTTTTTTTTTTTTTCAGCCAAATCTGTAAATTTGTTTTGCTCATGCTAAGTCTTGAAAAATACTACATAAAATTCACTATTTTTTATCTATAATGTTGAATGCATTAAAATTATTTAACAAGAAAAATCTCAGATGTTAAAAATTGCCACAAAATATTGCTGATATATTTAAAATGGAATAATCTGACATATCTCTAATTTGTATTTAGATACATTGTATTTATTTACAGTTTTTCTAGCTGAATTGTTCACCTGTATTGCATAGTTTACAATAAAATTTGTATTTTTTATGAATAGTACCATCTAAAAATTGAAATGTAGTAGAGTGGGAGGGCCCTTTATCATAGATTTTGGGAGGAGATACAAAACCCTTGCATCAGCCCTGGTGGTTAATAAAGTAGTATTGAGAGAGAAAATTAAATGTCTCTTAAAAGATTTTGGATGCATCCCCACAAAATGGCCAGGTATTAACAATCAATAACATCAAATAAAATATTTTACATATATTTTTTCACCAACAATAATGTTCAATAAAAACATAGAACACATATCAATCACCATCACAAAATATCACAAATGCAGGAAAAGCAGACTGTCATATCTTTAGAAGATCATTTTCAGTATTATGGTCTAAACAATAGCATATGGTTAACCATGAACTATTGCACCTTCATGTAAAATATGTAAAATCTCTGGTCCATGCCTTAATTGCCTGAGAGAGCCTCAAAAATGAATTGAAAAACAAAATTCCTAAAATATCATTAGTGATATGATTTCTTTCAACAAAAAAAGTATCCAGTAGATTTTATGACATGACCAAAGTACCTCCAACTTCTGAATTTATCATACTAGTGTTGTGATAAAGCTAGTCTGTATAATTAAATGAAAAAAACAATTTTTAAAAATTATATATATTATTTTTATTTTATTTATATATATATATATATATATTATTTTTTATTTTTAGAATATTTCATACAACTGGGAGATGTTACACACTCTTTTGATAGACCATGCATTGCTGATATCAAGATTGGAAGACATACTTACCACCCAACAGCTACTCCTGAAAAGATTGAATATGAAAAATTAAAATACCCTAAACTTCCATATATTGGCTTCCGAATTGGTTTTAGAGTAAGCTTTTTCCTAATGCGACATTATTTTATTGGGAATTTTGTTTTTACGTTGAGATCAATTAAAAATAATTCAATTTAACACTTATTAAAGTTTGATACAATGAGTTCAGTCCATCTGGTTTTATATTAAGAATTGTTTTCCCCAAAAAATATGAGTGAAATGTTTTAAGAAAACATTTATTTTCACAAATAAATTCTTAAAAAAAATGTCTTTATTTTGGAAGTTTCTGTGCTGTGACAATCACTAAACTGAATTAACATAAATTAGTCAAATGGTGACCTTCACAAAATTTCTTCAATAAGAATATCCACTTTGAATATTGATAACAAATTTAGACCATATTAAAGCTTTAAAACTACAAAGTAGGTACAAATACATTTCACTCATGAATATTTTTTCAATTCACTATATTGCATAAGCTGATGTTTTTTTCACAAAAATAATACATTTGCTTAACTCAATCATAAATACAATCTACTAATGATGATAGGTGAGAATTATGATGATTTTCCTTTCTGTTCAGTAATTCTTCCTAACAACTACAAAGTTCTTTATTGTAAAATTTGATAAAGAAGGAACAGTTTATTGTATTCCTTTTATGTTTAGGTTTACATCTAAGTCTAATAAAACCTAAAGAAAATGATAGATAAAGGTGAAATCACATGTAGATTCTGAATGTGAAATATTAGTGTTAATTGCTCATTTTAGAAATAGTTATTCTTTTTGCTGAGGATCAGTAATTTAATAAAAAAAAAAAAAAAATTACTGTTTTCAAACCTATTTTCAACGTGAAGGGAGATAATTCTGGAGCTCACCTATCATTGAAACAATGTAGTGAAAGTCAAATAGACTACTTTTAAATTATTGTTAACTTTTTTTTAGGTTTATCGACCATGCTCAGAGGTTTATGAATTTCATGATCATAAAAACTTACTCAATCTGGAGAATGCAGAAATTTTAGAAAAAGGTAATTTTTTAAAATTTTCATTAAAAATGTTAAAATACACAAAGACATATGACAAGCACTAGATAAGCAGATCTATTTTTATTGTCTTTTTACACTTAAAAATTTGTGTTTATAACGCATTGATGAGAACAAACCACTGAAAATATCAAGAATCCCTTCCCTAAAATTGTGGTATTTAGTCAGTTTTTAAAAATGGGTTGGGCTAAGAACTTTTAGTACCTTTTTATATATAATATATATTATTTATATAATATATTTTTATTTACTTATCTTGGTCTTTTCAAAGGAATATGAACCAATATAGATATTATATTAATCCTTTCAAATGTTTAAATGAAATTTAAAATATATTTTTGTTAAAATCAGATATAATGACCTTTAATTTTTTTATGATAAAAGACAAAATTTATTTATACATAAACAAATAAAATATTTTACTCAATATTTTGTAATAGAATGATTTTAAATAACAGATTTTACATGGATCAGAATATATTTATCTCCCCTCCTTTGGATTTTTTAAGGGTGAAATTGTTTATTGCATATTGTCATTATCCTTGTATTAAGTAAAAATGACATTTTGGATGAGCTGTCAGAAATTATTTATAAGGTCTTTTTTCTTGAGATATTGTATTTTAGTTAGGGAAAAATTCAAAATAAATCTCGCTGACTAATTAAAATGACAGTTTTTCTTAAGTAAATGCTGCAAAGGTATATTTCCTTAACACATTAGAATCTATTATTTTTGGAATATAGTTGTATATTTATACAAAGAGTATGTTTCCTGACTTATGATTGCTTTGAGTAAGAAGATATTTTATAAATCATTTTGGAGATAAAGCAAACAGTTCAAAGTTCAACATATGGCTGTTTATTTGTACATATTTATTTATTGATACATAAATACAGCATTATATTTTGAGTAATAACGAAGTGATCGCCAAAGGATTCATGGAATCCAACAAGTATAGATTATCAAAATCATTTCTAAAAAAAAATGCAAAAGCAAAAAACTACATTCTTGATGAATATAAGACTGAAATTGTTAAAATGTTAACAATTCTGTAGTTGAGTGATCTTTGGGTAACTTTTCTCAGCATGTTTGCTTCTTGATGATTTATGTTTGGTTTTATTCTGTCATTAATATGATTAATCTGTGAACTGCCAGGTTGACAATATTCCATACCTTTTTAATTTTTTCATATTTTAGTGTGGAGTGAGTAGCCATGCTTAAATGCAAAGTAAGTCACAGTTGAAAAAAACAAGATTGATAAAGTTTGCAATAAACAATAACAAGAAAAAGAAGAACAGGGCAAAATAGAATAATATAAAGCAAGAAAACAATATATGCAAGGCAAATCAACAGTAATAAAGCAAAGCAACTGTAATATGGCAAAAAGTTCAGACAAGTGAACATAGTGTTCTGACTTCAAGTCATTTCTAACAGATGCAAAAAAAAACATATACTTATTTCTTTTTTTTTTTTTTTTCTTTTTTTCTATGGCACAGATTCACATATTAACTTTAATATAGAATTTTTGCATTATATAAGTATTAAAATAAAATGAAAATATGCAGAAAAAATTAAATATAATCATGTTTTTAATGTTTCTGCTTCTTTCAGGTCTAGGTAGTTACTTCAACCTACCAGAAAAATTACGTAAAGATGCCATATTGGCTATTCTTGCCGAACTGAAAGAAATTCGCCACTGGTTTGAACTGCAACGAACCCTTTCATTTTATGCCACATCACTTCTATGTGTATATGAAGGAAACAGACCATGTGAATTGCATCATAGCCATGTGCACGGAAGCCATGAAAGCAATAACACAGTTGGTAACAAAATAGCAGATGTCCAGCCTTGCCTCCACTCTACAAACAATGTGAGTAAAGAGTGTAACAAATGTTGCACTAATCTGATGACCAATGGTTATAGTTGGTTATCCCAATCCTCATTACCTCCAAATGATGGTTGTGTACAGGTGAAGATGATAGATTTCAACCATGTTTATTCAACCACTGAACGTGATGACAACTATTTATTTGGTTTGGACAATTTTATGAAATCTCTTGAAAAACTATTGAGTGATTATTGATCAGATACATTTTGTTTTTTAAGTCTTGAATTTTGAAATATTTTATGTATACTTTTTTTACTTGTTCTTTTTTGCTTTTTGAGAGACTCATTGCAGATATAACTTTTTAATATGGAAACTATAATATTTGAGATGAGTTAAACAGATCATTATATAAAGAAACATGACATTCTAACCAACTTCACAAATCATCTTAACTAATTATAATAAATTTTCATTAATCTTTTTATAAATATTTTAAATGCAATCACATAAATTTCCTTAAAAACATTAAATTAAAAAAATGATCTAAGTTATTTTTTCATAATCATTTTTAAGGGTAAATTCAAAATGCATATGATTAATAAAAAAAAAATTCAGTTTTGTTATCGTGTACATGCAGGACATGTATAGAATCTATTACACTTGACGTAAACTTGTCTATTTATATAAAGTATAACCTTTCCTGACTTCTGATTGCTTTAAGCAAAAAGGTATTTTAACTACTTTTTTATTTTCTGGTTTTCTTTGTGACTTTTAGATGAAGTGGTCATATTTCAAAGCTTAAAGTGTTACTGATGGTCTTTTTTTTTTTTTTTTTTTTTGATTTCAAGAAATCTGCTGAATCCTAGTGATTGAAATTGGGTGGTTAGGAATTTTCAGATCCTGTGATTTCAGATAAGCGAATAGATGCGTTATATTTTTAAAATTTCTTTGAGTTTAGGCAATTTGCTAAGTTCACTTTGGCATTGACACAGATGAGGAATAGGCAGACGATGTTGTATTAATCTTCTAAGTGATCTTGAAATCAGTATTTGAAATCATGTCTTTTATTTGGGCTTGAACACAAAACACTGGTGTCTGTGGGGAAATATGCAACTACCTCAGCTCCAAAGCAGACCATAAGTGGTTTTGAGTACTTTTTCCAGATTTAATAAAACTTTTATGGATTCTTATAATTAAAGAGGTAGACAGCAACTATCAGGACAACCAACTGGCTCATTCATTCACTTGTGTTGTATCTAGTGTAAAATGTATTTCAGATCTTAACCAGCCAAATGTCAGAGAAGGTGAACTATGGTGAATTACCTTCAAATTTTATATATATTCATTCCTTTTCTTAGAGTATAAGTATATATATTCCTTTTCTTAAGAGTGCCTTTTAATACACAGAAATAATAGTTGTGTATTATTTACCTATTTACAGTGCTATTTTTTGCTTAACAATTTTTCAAAATAGGTGGCTGATTTTTTTAATCTATGTAAGAATAACACCATGTTATCATAGTATATATGGGAATTTTTATTAATTTAAACATTATTATAGTTATACTTTGTATCCACTATAATATCAAATATAGTATCCAGTATAATAACATTTGAAGAAATAAAAATGTCCGATTAAAAATAAATCCATTAATTCTTTGTATTTGGAAATTAAAAATGAAATGGAAAATGCCATGAGTAAAATGTAATATACAGGTAAAGAGAAAAATAGGGAGAAATTGCAATCGATGCATGGAGAAGAAACTAAAAACATGAAAAATCTAATAAATAAAAGGAATTAAATTAGCACACTGATGAATTCCTTTTGAAAAACATAAAAGGAACAATAGATCTTGGGAACTTTATTACAAAATGGTGATATATTTTGAAAATTGCTGAGAATGTAGAAGAGTAAATAATACAAAAGTTATTTTTTGTGTGTGTGCATATATATATATGAAATGGACTAAGTCTGACAATTATTTTATTTTCTGTTTATACATTATTTTTATAGATACAAATATTTAGGTAAATACTCTGTTTATAATAAACAGTATTAACAACATTTACTGGCCTGAATGGAATCAAACCTGTATCCTACATGGGACCATCATAATGCTATGCCATTTAGCTTTCTTTGTAGCTAAATAGTATAGCACATCAGGTTAAAATGACGGTTCTGTGTAGGATACAGGTTCGATTCCTGTTGAAGGACATATTTTCTATGAAATTTCTCAGATATTCAGGCTGGTAAATATTGTTAATACTGTTTATTATAAACAGAGCAATTACTTAATATTTGTATCTATAGAAATAATGTAATAACAGTGTGTGTATGTATATATATATATATATATATATATATATGATATCACACATTGTATGCTGGTGTTAATAAAATGGAGCTCGAGGTAATATAACAGTTATTAAATATATATATATTAAAAAATATACATATTATTCCTCACTTGTAGCATGACCTGGAGTTTCAGGCAAAAACACAATCTCTCTCTCTCTCTCTCTCTATATATATATATATATATATATATATATATATATATATATATATATAAAGCATCTTTACCAATAATATATTTTGATAAGGTTAGTAAAATAAGTCAGAAAATGATATATTTTTAGTTATTATATAATTATTTAAAAACTGTAATTGGATTTAATCTTAGAGCCATTATTTTTAAAATTTAAGATTTGTCAGCTGAGCCAGGAAAAATTTGGTTGGTGCCATGTTTATTCAACTATGAATTATTCTGAGTTCAGTTATTTGATATACCAAATACCCAAGGTTTATTCTCTCTTTAATTTAGTAATACCCAATATCTCACTGGTGTTTTTTGGGGGTTTTTTTGTTTTGTTTTTTACCAGAAAAGAAAATTATGCATTCCATATTATACTGAAATTTCTATTTTTTTCAAGCCAAACTTCAAGTGATCATTGAATCTATAGATACATCACTTATAATGTTCAGTACTTTGTTCTTTTCATTTATATCTATCTTAATTTACTGAACAAATGTTATGTCATCTATTTTATATCAAATAAAAACAAAATTAATTCTTTACTTAATGATTATGAATATAAAAAAGTGTCTGAAAAAATTCATGTCAATATGCATTTCATATATAAAAAATAACTTTTCACTGATTAAATAAATTACAAATATGATTTGATAAAACCCCCAATATCTCATCTCATAAACATTATATATATATATATATATATATATATATATTTGTAAAATCTTTTTGTTGACTTAAAATACATGAAATTATATATGACCATGAAATACACAAGGATGAAGCTGTTAAAAAAATGCTTAAAAATTAGCAAAATTGCATTCTTCCTTTAATCAAGCATTCCTTTTTGTTCATCAGTTTCTGACATTTTTCAATGCTTTTTTTTAATATGCGAAAAGAATGGTGAGGGCTGTCTTTTGTGATTCTTTATATTTTCTATTATGATAATTGTAATTAAAATACAAAAATTAGTAAAAACTTTTGTTAGTATTTATGATTCTGAAATGCAAAAAAAATTTTTAAATTATATAATGTTGCTAAAAGACATACAACAAAATTTATCAAAATTAATCAGTTTTACTTAGAAGTTTTTATTTTTCATAATTGTTAATTATAATGGGTTTTTTAATGCTGTGCAAAAATCGTTTTTCAAAATTCAAATTACCAATAAAAAGTAAACAACAATTCAAATTTTCTGTATATTTGGTAATAGCAATTTTTTAAGCTATTTCTCATTTTTTGTAATAAGTGCTATGAATTGGGGTCTTTTTTTATTTATATAAGCATATGGACTAAGAGTAAAAAATAATATTTGTGTGTGTGATAAAAATATTGCATAAAATATATATGCATGAATTTCATTCAGCAATAAATTTTCTATTTCTTAACCAATTGTAATTTTTTTTTTTTTTTTTGACTTATAAGACTGACACAAAGCAATGTGTATGTCATTAATATTAACCTCTTTGCACCCATAATTGCTCAACTTATTTTAATTTGCATTTGAAGTGTAAACTATTTTCTCCATAAGGATATTTTTCTGCATTTGGAAAATTTCTTGATTTTATGAAAAAAAATTAACATTCAAAGATTGGAATATATTAAGTGATAAGAACATATTCTGAATATTAATTTTTGCTAAATGGGGGGAAATGTCTTTTTTTTTTTTTTTTTTTTTTTAAACAATTTCCACCAAACAATTTTAAATATTAACCCATTAACTGCAGCAGAAATTAATTCTTGTTATTTGCAGTTGAGCCACACAACTGCATTGACAAAAATTCTAATCGTTTTCAGTTAACAGGTTAATAGATTTTTTTTTTCTCACAATGTATCATTGCTAATAAACCTCAAAATTTTTGATAAAATTAGTTTCTTTCCTTTCCTGTTCTTTGGTGGGGGGAATCTTAAAAGCTAAAAACTTTTAATAACTCAATTGGAAAAGATTTTTGAAAATGTAATTTTTGTTGATCATATGCATTTTAAAACATGCATTAATACTAATGTTTACTGTTACTTTTTACAATATTAAAAAAGTGAATGATGTCAAATATTTTTGTATTTGCATTATTAAAATTTGATTTTTTTCTTACAATGTTTTCATATTTTCAAATTTCACTGATAATCAAACTCCCCTCCCAGTTGTGTTTGTGTCAGCTTAATTTTTTTTAAAGTCTAATTCCCCTTACTTTCTTAAAGACAGCTTATTCAGCAAATAAGTAAGATGTTGCCTAAGGATACTTAATCATGTTGCCTGTGTTAAAAAGTGTAAAACCAAAGTAAATATTGCTGCCACATTTGTTCTGATGCATCTGCTATGTATTTAGAGATTCTTGATAAAATACAAAGAAGAATCTGCAATATTATCAGTCCTGACTTGGCATCTCGGCTTCAGTCACTTTCCCACCAATGTAATGTAGCTTTCCTGTGCCTTTTCTTTTAATGGTAATTTTTCTGATGAGCTTTCCTCTTTGATACCTCAAATTTATGAATTTAAGCACAATACTA